AATCACAAAGTTTTTGCAGCCAGACACCGTCTATACTTACATCTAGAGATCTAATAGGTCGTGATATCACTATGAAGTCATAACCTGAATACAAACTTCCGTGGGTTGCCATGCCAAGCCTTTTTTGAACACTTTTGTCTTAGATTTTACTTGTGATCCATTGCGACAGATATAAGCCTAAAACTTTGCTTTTTTAATCTCTTATTAGTTCGTGCAAACATCAACACGTTATGACTTATCCTAATACAAAGGAAAAATAATAGTGCAGAAGCTCTCGAGCTTCGGAATAATAGGTGCTGTACACGAGTGGATAGGAAACTTATATGACCGCAGACAAATAGTGAGGTTCAATGTAATGCTATCCGATTGGAAGCCGGTCAAAAGTGATGTACTTCAAGGTACCATCTTAGGCCCTCTGCTCTTTCTTCTCTACGTTAATGAGTTACTGCTGTCGCTCAGGTCGTAGACATTTTTTTTGCAGATGACCTTAAAAATCTGGAGAGTAATAAAAAGTGAGGCTGGTCATCTGGTTCTTCAAGCTGACTTACACGATTTAGTTAGATGGGCTCGATGTTGGGGCTTAGAAATCATTTCTAGGAAGAGTGTGCCAATGCACATTGGTCACGGTAATAGTTACCATCATACTATTGATGGCAAACCTCTTCCATGCGTTCAAGAACACAAAGACTTAGGAGTAATAATAGGTCGTGACATAGAAACAACTATGCATTGCAAAGCAGCCGCTGTCAAAGGTTTTCGTGCGTTATGTTAACTTTGCCGAGCATTTAAATGCTTTGACAAGGAGAAGTTTCGAACTTTGTATTCCACCTATGTAGGATCACCTTTAGAGTACTGTATCCAAGCAGCTGGCCCATGTCTGGTAAAGGATAATAACTCACTTGAGCGTGTTCAGCGTGTGGGAACAAAATTAGTGAAGGGTCTATAGTGACCTACTTTTCTCAAGAAAACGCGATCGGTGTAATGGAAACACTTATTAATATGACCAATTGTACCAGGGATTGTTTTACCGTATGTGTTTGTTTAACTGTACCGAAACACATACTTTCTCCTGTTGATGGTGACCTTGCGCGAATTCGGTTACGTTCAGTAGTCTGGCATGATCTCGGTATTCTTTCAATACAACGAGATTGTCAACAAATAAAGTCAGCAACTGCCTTCTGATATTTGGCTTACGGAGGATGTTATCGGTTAACTGGCACGTAGTTTTCCTGTAATGGTGATCATATATATGATCATATGGTGATGATCATATATATAGTCAACCGCGACTCGACGCCACGATACAGGTCTTTCTAAAACCCCTTAAGATGAGCGTTCAAAACGCCTAGACCTTTTCTTTTTGTCGTATCGCAGGACGCGAGGTGACTTTATACTGGCATTTCGTATCTTTAATTATGATTGGAGTGTCTGTTTGTCTGATCTTTTTACCCTCTCCAGCACTAATAATCCCCGAGTTCATAGCAAGAAGGTTCACAAACCGCGATCTAATAAGCTTTCAGTGGGGTCAATGACTGGAATGCCTTACCCGAACAAATGGTATGAGCCCCATCAGTGAATATTTCCAAGGTGAAGCTGAACCTTCACTGGAAGGCAATCTGTCAGGATTAACACTGGTCAACCAACCTACCACCTTTATTACTAAAGACTGAATAAACTTATAGTTTTAACTCAGCAATATGTTTAGTGTTTTGTTTTCACTTTTAGTTTTTTGATACCGGATAGTACTGAATCACAGTATATTTTTCACACTATATGGCATCTGGATCTTATGAATTTAGAAGTACTGAAATTATTGTAAATGCAGATGATGGGTTTTACTCAGATATTAGGGACCGGGGCATTGTTTCTTGTCTTTCAACAGTAGATCGTGGGGTATCGGACGTTTCGGTTCTAATGAATGGTGCAGTTGCAAAAAGTTTGCTTTCCTGTCCACACCATAAAAGACCACAGATGTCCTCACTGTTCTCACATATCTCACGGAATAGACACATCCCAGGTAATATTGTTCAATATGCACTTTATTGAAAACATCAATGTTTCTGCTAATTTGTTCACTTTATATCTACACATTGTTCACTGTGTTTATCATCGACTTTTGTTGAGACTTGAGTCACTGACTTCTTGTATCCCATTTATTGTGTGGGACAGTCGTCAGTGCTTGCCCAAATTTCTATTCATTTTTCTTGTTTTCACAAAATATCATTGCTTCTTTCTTTATCTACAGTAGCTTTTCTGATTTGGGATGTTGGCTCACTAAAAACGTTGCTCTTGAATAAACAAGCAAACGCGCTCTCTGGAGGTATATGAATGGTCTAAGAAGTTTTGCTTTCTTACCGGTCACGATATACATATGACATCAATTATCATAAAAACTGCGGTAGTTACCTGCTACCCAAATCATTCAGTTCACTCTTACTAATGTGATACATTCATTAATCCCAGTGGACTGTAAAGTACTCACTAAGTCAGATATAGCTATCCGAAGCATGGTGTAGATCAGCAACGTAGATGATCTATGTCGAATGATTGAGGGCCTACTTGAGTTAAACGGGAATGGTGTGACCAGCAGCTAACGTCGAAATCACGGCTCGCAGTCAGCATCTAACGTGGATTACCCCTTTGTCGTATCAAGGTACTATTGATACTTTGAGGACCATACAGCACAAAGGACGTTATTATGGAAATATATTAGTAAGAAAGAGTACAGAGAAGATAGTGAGACCACCAAAACATTGGCCAGTCCCATTGCATACGATTAACTGGTGCGCGTTGGTTGTCCTTGACTTTGAAAGGGATCGATGATCTGTTCGATATTCAGTGATCCAACTTCCAGATGGTTTGTCTAGGGCTCAGTGACATTCCACTGACCCTACAATACTCAGATAGTCACAACATAGAGCCTGTGCGTATTTACGTCGGTTCAAGTTGCTAGACCCCATTGGCCCAGAGAGATGAAGTTCTCAGGCCAAATACCACAATAGTAGAGGTAGTTAGAGCATCAGTGCTAATGAAGTTGTACCATAATACCTACTTTAATCGCGCGTGGCACATAAGTCTAAATCTCACGTATGAAAACTGCAATAACAATAAATTTGATTAGATAAAGGTGGCTGTTAAGAATGTATTGTAACTACAAATTATTCGACTCATATCATTACGAACAACTGAGTAACCTTAATGTTGGTTCGCTTAAATCACTATATGGAATGTTATGGTACAAAAACTGAAACATGAGATGCAAAATTGGGAAGCGTAGTTCCATTCTATTTATCGTCTGTACCGTTGTAGTTGGAGTTGTAATAGAATTCGCTTTTGAGATTCAGAGATATCTTATTTAACTCGTTCCTTTGATTTGTTGGTCGTGAGAGTTTTAAGTGTGTATGACGTTTGTGGGTGTTACTCTTTTAAATAAAACTTTTTCGATGAATTGATTTGTGTTTCCGACTACGTTTTGCGAAATGAAAGCCAGGTTTCTAATCGAATGTAGCGTTTCATAGTTATACGTTCAAGCAAGCGAAGAAAAGGTATCAAATCTAAGTATAACAAGACTTTACAAAGGATTTTGGCTACATACTTCCACAGTATTAAATGCTAATACAAACAGAAACTTTCATAACCGTTTTAGAGTGTTTCGGACTGTTTCAAATGATTAATCTGCAGGATTCCAATTTCTATACTTTATCATATGCTTAGTCCGAAGGATCTTATAATTCTTCTTTAGCAATGAAAACCGGTCATCCTTATTTTTAAGTTTCTAAAGAGTTTTTAGTGTTCAACCTTGTCTGCAAATCCACAAATAAGTCGTGCGAAGCGAACGAAGGTGGATATTGGTGATGACTAGTTCCTCATTTTCTATCAAAAAATTGCTGTTGCAGAAATTATTCGAGTAAATCATTGATGTAACAAGTTATTTGGGACAAATGTAAGTCTGTGGTTATCTAGAATTCTAAGATTATGCACCGCCTATAATAGTTTCTCATTCACGTGTGAGCCAATTGTCACTGAAATCAACAAACTGAATCTAACGAATCTATTTAGTTCCTATAAGTTTTTTCGGACTTTCAGTTTGGCATTTAGTAAATCAAATTATTATATTGTTATTTTCTGTAGCGTAATAAATGCAGATGATTAGTTTTATGATGTGTAGTTACAAAAGGTTCATGTTATCTTTTATTGACACGTGATACAAAAATCACAAACGTAATGACTTAATACATTTCGGTTTATCAACTTTTATGTGATTCGGAACTGCAGACACACTCGCAAGTTTTAGTTTTGAGAATACGGAATCATGTCTTCTAAATTTGTTGACATGATCAGTTGTTTTATAGTTTCGGTGTGAATTTCCTCTAAATATGTATTAAACTACATAGAGTAGGGTGTTAAGTTCATTATATTTTTTTGTTTGATGGTCTATTCAGTCAGTTGAAATGTGGCCGATTTCTATTCGTTGGTAACCCGATTCTTAATCCTTTCAATTCATTCACCATTCAGTTCATATCTTTTGCAGATGCGCCCAGTGAAATATAGGCTATTAGCCGGCTAATTCAATTTTTGGTAGAGGAGATAAGTTTCTTTCATCCAAGACTGCATAGAGCTAACCTTGATCTTCAGGTTATCTTTCTTGTTTGATTAGTTGGTCACAGTTCCATAGCGACTTCCCACCATACTTTCAACATCCATACATTTTAGTTCAGTATAAGTGTTCATTTTTGACTTTACATGTCATAAAATTTATTAACTGCACGTCCCTAAATATATTTCGTACATATATTGCGAAAAAACACATGTGTCTCCAAAATGAGTCCCTCCAAGAGTTTATATTTCAACTAAGAATCACTTATAAATGTAAGACAATTTAGTCTTGAATTTGTGACAAAATCGGTGAAAATGTTTGATGAAATTTGTAAATATCTGCCGGTGAAAGTCACGCTCAATGCGAACAGAACGCTAATTTGTCTGAATATGCACGTGAAAAAATGTCAAATGATGAAGATAATCAGAAAAATTGTGGAGATGGTGAACGGTTTAAGTTTCAAGATCGATGAAGGAGTGATGTGAATGTGCTTTTCGATGCAAGTCCCATATCTAATCAAGTGTTTAAGACAACATTTATCATTATCTGGTCTAGATTGACGTTCTTTTAGGTCTACATTTTAACTTGACTGAAGGAAAACCTTTATCCAATACGAAGTTTGTACGAAGCTTACTGAATGATCATGGTTACTTCCTTGGTAAGCATGGATTTCGAAGGAAGTTGGTGTTCTCTGGCATTCACATGAATGAAGTGAGTTTCATGAGCTTTCTTTGCAAAACGATTGTTTTTGGTTGATAAACTACCGTTCTGTTTTTGTTGTTTCAATCAAAATTTCAGTATTCTAAATACCTATTCAAAGGCTGATATTTGGTGTATTTTTTACAATGGAATATTTGATTTTCGTATTTTTGAATTTTAAAGATAATGTGTTCATTTGCGGTCATCGAGTTCTATATGACTTAAATTGAACTATTCTGGGTATTCTTACTTAGAATATCAATTCAATCACTGCCAGTTATGATAGTATGTCTACGCTTTGAGGATTAAAATTAATGGGGTCAATGGATTGACCAGGTATCTAGTTTTAATTTGGGACAATTCAGTAATAAGTCTGACATATTTGTCAGTAAATGATGTTCAGCTTTAGAGTTGTGGAATTAAAATCTGCTTGTGGTTGTTTTTTTCCATAAATTCGTTCGTTTTTCCACACAACTTGACATTTGTATTAATTTTAGAAATTCTGTCCCTTGATATCTGCCTAGTTGAGATGTTTTGGGAAAGCTGTTGTTAAATAATAATAAATCTTTTGTACAATGTATTGTACTTTAGGTTGAAGTTGAACTGGAATCACAAATAAATGCATTTTGAGATGTTTTTGGAACTATTCCCAGTCATTTCGATGGTCATCAACATGTTCATGTTTTGCCAGGTGTGTATTTCGATTTAACTTTGAAGTATACATGAATCTCATACAGTTTGTGAGATTAATTTATAATATTTATATTTTCAAGAAATCCAAGAAGCAAATAGTTATTAACCTTCAGAGGAATGTTATGAGTAGGTTGAGTGAAATTTTTAAGGATGTTGCTTCTAACTACCTTATTATTCTCATTCCTTTATGTTCACACATTAATAAACAGTTTGAATGTACAAGTAGTTCATTGACCATGTCCAAATCATTTTTGACATCAGTTTACCTACACATCCTGAAAGGACTGTAGACTCGTACTCTTTATTATGTCGAAGCTGATTTGTGCATCAGGAAAGTATTTTTGATTGTCATCTTTAACTGACCGTAAATTCTTGTCACGTCAACCTCTTGGAAATCATTCTCGGAACGTTCCCAGTTTCAGGTGTTTATTTACTCAGTTTCCTTTCTTCAGTTTGTAGGTGATACATGTTTATTTCAATGTTCTTTGTTGTTGTATTGCATGTTAGAATTCTAGTTATGTGCATTCTGTAGACGACATATTGATAATTTAGGATCAAATCACTAGTAACTTTGTTTGCATTTAGATGATCAGTCTCAGTCTGAAGACCTTCATAATCGAACAAATAGGTTAAGTTCATGAGTACAAAATACTTAAATCTGACTTTTAGTCAAGAAATAAACTTCCATGTGAAGTTTTACTACATTTCCGTGTCTAACACTACACTAAATGTTTTGTACGTTAAACTATGGAGCTACTTGTTGTGTTGTAAGTAGTATGTGTCTATTCACAATATTTGGACAAGAATTTCTGATGTCTGAAATCCTACATCGTTTTAAACAATAAAAATAGTCTGTAATCACACAACTTTGGCTATTTTATAAAATAAGAGGTACTAATAGTGTGTTGTGAAAACGATCTTTTATTTTAGATTCTGAAAAACACCAGCGATTGTTCTTGCATGCTGTGTTAGTCTTACTATTTCTTGCTGTGCATGATTTGTCGAAAAATCCAAGTGTACTACTTATGCCTTGTGTTTTTCTTTGTTAAATGTAAGCATTTAAGAAGTGGTTGGAATCAAAGCTATTATAAGTTTAGAGTTTGATACTCCGAATCGTTGAACTTAAAGAAAAGACAAGGAATAAAGTAGGATTACGAATACCATATTCCAAATTAATGTTGCTTGGAGATTATAGCATATATCATTCAAATCAAGAAAAATATGACATTCAGATAGTAAATATTTTGTAACTCACTGTTCAGGTTATTCATCTGATTTGTTTTCGTTTAAAAAGGGATTAACCTGGTCGTAGCTAGAGTTATCTCTCGACTTGGGATTAAATGGATTCGTGTTCCCATTGAATATATTTCAGAAACATCCTGTTGTATTACTGAATGTAAGTTGAAATGTATAGTTGTTATTTTGATATACGTTGTGTATTATGTCATTTGTGTTATCTTCTCAATTATTTGCTTAGTTGTTTGAAGGTGCGTGTTGAAAAGTCAATAACGCGTACTATGTTGATGGAGAAAGAGAGTAACAGTCGATTAATATACTGTAAGGAGGCTTTCTATTTTCATTGTCGCTTAGATTGAAATCGAGTGACTGTTATTGTTCATGTTTTTCTAATATCTTTTTCGCTTGTTTACGTAATTACTCGTGAGTTTATTTAAGTATTTTAAGTATGTTATTAGCTAACCGACTGTGCTACTTATCCTTCAATCTACGAAGAGTTATCAGAAAATGATCAGTTATTCAGGCTTTGAGTCTCGTTGTGAAAACAATGTTCATAGTGAAAGTCGTCGGAATTACATACGTGATAAATTTATCTGAGTTGAAAGCGAGCGCTGGCTACGGCCAATGTACCTTGCTCCACAAGAGCAGGTGAACTGGTAGATGCACATGGAGGCGACCAGATGCGGAAGCTTACGCGAGAAAATTTATTTGAGACTAATGTTGATATCTCAGTGTGGTTGCATTCATTTGATGATATTTGTCATAGTTAGACAGTTCCGGTTACCTGAATTTTGTGTTTTCAAACTCGTATTCTGAAATAATAATAAGAGTTGTTGAACAGAAGATTCTGTCAACAGTTTTCACGCTGGTAGTAACATGACGTCAATCGTAAATGTGAAATAAAATCTCGTTTAACAAAATAATTTATAGCCCGAGCGTATAACGAACTTGAAGGATTTTTAGTAAACGAACATTCTTCATATGGGAAGATACATTGCCGCTGGCAATTGTTATGTCCTGTTATTTCATGCTATTGAAAATCCTTACTCACATTAGATTGTAAATGTATCCTCTTTAAATTTCCAACAATGTACTCTTTGTTCAGTGTCATATATTTTTACTGTAAACGTGAATCAGTAGTTTCAGTTTGGAATTACCATTTGACTTTATTAAATCTTTTACCTACATATGTGGGTAAATTCCGCTGACTTTTACATTTGCCTTGCTGTGTCGTTTATCACTTACTTAGTCAGTGTTATAGTTTGTTAGTTAAATGTATAAATGCATGTATATCTAGAAGGATGATAATGGAGTATACAACTAATATGTGATAATAGAGAGTATGTAACTTTACTTTCTTATTAACTATCCGTTTGACTTAACTAAATGGTTTATTATTGACCTTCAATTTATCTCGTCTTTATGTAAATAATTTTATAGTTAAATTGCTTTGTAATTATTTCATGTACGTTAAATATTCTATTATAATTATGAATGTTTAGTACTACTATATTTCGAATGCAATTTATTCCATTCTATATAGACACTTACTTACTTACGCCTGTTACTCCCAATGGAGCATAGGCCGCTGACCAGCATTCTCCAACCCACTCTGTCCTGGGCCTTCTTTTCTAGTTCCATCCAATTCTTGTTCATTTTTCTCATGTCTATCTCCATTTTTCGGCGTAATGTGTTCTTTGGTCTTCCTCTTTTCCTTTGACCTTCAGGATTCCATGTGAGGGCTTGTCTTGTGACGCAGTTGGGTGCTTTCCTCAATGTGTGTCCTATCCACTTCCAGCGCTTCTTCCTGATTTCTTCCTCCACTGGGGTCTGGTTTGTTCTCTCCCACAGTACGTTGTTGCTGATAGTGTCCGGTCAATGGATCTGAAGTATTTTGCGTAGACAACTGTTAATAAACACCTGTATTTTCTGGATGATGGCTTTCGTAATTCTCCAGGTTTCTGCTCCATACAGTAGAACTGCCTTGACATTTGTATTGAAAATCCTGACCTTGGTGTTGGTTGACAGTTGCTTTGAGCTCCGGATGTTCTTCAGTTGTAAATATGCTGCTCTTGCTTTGCCGATCCGCGCCTTCACATCTGCATCAGATCTACCGTGTTCATCAATGATGCTGCCCAAATATGTAAAGGTTTTTACATCTTCCAAATCTTCTCCGTCAATTGTGATTGGATTGGTGCATGCTGTGTTGTATCGGAGAATCCTGCTTTTCTCTTTGTGTATGTTGAGACCTACTGCTGCTGAGGCTGCTGCCACACTGTTTGTCTTCTCCAGCATCTGTTATTGCGTTTGGGATAGAAGGGCTAGATCGTCTGCGAAGTCTAGATCATCCAACTGCATCTTAGATGTCCATTGTATCCCGCGCTTCCCTTCAGACGTTGACGTCTTCATGATCCAGTCGATCACCAGGAGAAAGAGAAAGGTTGAGAGTAAGCAACCTTGCCTAACACCGGTCTTCACTTTGAACGACTTTGTCAACTGTCCTCCATGCACAATTTTGCAGTGCAATCCATCATATGAGTTCTGTATGATATCTTCTGAGGCACGTCGTAGTGTCGAAGAAGTTTCCATAGTGTTGTTCTGTCCACGCTGTCAAATGCCTTTTCGTAGTCAATGAAGTTGATGTAGAGTGATGAATTCCATTCAATTGATTGTTCCACAATGATCCGTAGAGTTGCGATTTGGTCTGTACACGATCTATCCTTACGGAATCCTGCCTGTTGGTCACGAAGTTGGGCGTCTACGCAGTCCTTCATCCTGTTTAACAATACCCTGTTGAAGACTTTTCCCGGTATTGAGAGAAGAGTGATGCCCCTGTAGTTATCACACTTGCTGAGATCGCCTTTCTTCGATATTTTGATTAGAAGTCCTTCTTTCCAGTCTGTTGGTACTTGTTCCTCATCCCAAATCTTATTGAAGAGAATGTGGAGTATCCTTGCAGTTGCCGCTACGTCTGCTTTTAGTGCCTCTGCTGGGATGTTGTCCGGTCCTGCTGCTTTGCCACTCTTGATTTGTCTGATGGCCATACTGATTTCTTTAATTGTTGGTGGGCCAACATTGATTGGGAGGTCCGTGGGTGCTGCTTCGATGTTGGGTGGGTTCAGTGGAGCTGGTGGATTCAAGAGTTCTTTGAAGTGTTCTACCCACCTGTTTTGTTGCTCTTCAATGTGGGTGATTACCTTACCTTCTTTGCTTTTCACTGGTCGTTCTGGTTTGCGGCGATTTCCAGAGAGTTTCTTTGTCGTGTCATACAATTGTCTCATGTTTCCTTCTCTTGCAGCCTTTTCCGCCGTCGTTGCTAAATCTTCCACATATTTACGTTTGTCGGTTCTGATGCTCCTCTTCACTTGTTTGTTTATTTCCGTGTATTCAGCTTGTGCCTTGGCTTTTTCTTCTCTTGTTCGACTGGTATTGATCGCTGCCTTCTTGTTTCTTCTTTCTTGAATCTTATCCAGTGTATCACCAGTGATCCATTCCTTGTGGTGGTGCTTCTTGTGACTCAGGACCTCATGACATGTTGAAGTGATTGCCTCTTTGATTCCCTTCCAGTTGCTCTCCACAGTAGTTCCTTCTCCATTGAGTAGATCATGAAAGGCCTGGAACTTGTTGCTGAGGACTATCTTGAATTTGTTGAGTTTGTTAGTATCCTGGAGAAAGGCCGTATTGAACTTTTGTGATACTGTCTGCCTCGTTGTCCAGTGCTTCTTGAGTTTCAATTTCATCTTGGCGACCAGTAAGTGATGATCTGATGCTATATCAGCTCCTCTCTTGGTTCTCACGTCCTCTATAGTCCTCCTGAACGTTTTGTTGATGCAGACATGGTCGATTTGATTTTGTGTAGTGTGATCCGGTGAAGTCCATGTGGTTTTGTGTATGCGTTTATGTGGGAATATGGTGCCGCCTATGACCAGTTTATTGAAGGCACATAGATTGGCAAATCTCTCACCATTTTCGTTCTTTTCTCCCAGTCCATGTCGTCCCATGATGTCTTCATATCCAGTGTTGTCCGTTCCAACCTTGGCGTTGAAATCTCCCATCAGAATGGTCAGGTCCTTTGTTGGGCACTTCTCGATGATCGACTGCAGCTTATTGTAGAATTTATCTTTAGCGTCTTCATTGTAGTCGTTGGTAGGCGCATAGCATTGGATGATGTTCATTGAAATGCCCTCTTTCTTTGTTTTAAACGAGGCTTTGATGATACTTGGTCCATGAGATTCCCATCCTATAAGTGCATTTTGCGCTTGTTTGGACAGCATCAATGCAACTCCTTGTGTATGTGGTGCATTTTCTTCTTCATGGCCGGAGTATAACAGGAGCTCTCCTGTAGTTAGTCGTTGTTGTCCAACTTGTGTCCAATGTGTTTCACTGATCCCAAGTACCTCTAGGTTGTATCTTCTCATTTCTGCAGGAATTTGGAAGGCTCTTCCGGTGTCCCACATTGTACGAACATTCCATGTACCTAAATAAATGGTCGCTCTGGTTGTCAGAAGGGGTATCGGCCTCGTAACTTCCGAAAGAATTCGGCTTTCATCATGAGGCGTCATAATTCTTCTAAATGAAGACCTTCTGACTCCCAGGGCAGAGTTTAAAAGGTTTGAATAATTTTTTCTGGTTAGCGTTTTTTTAGCGAGTTAGTTTTCTACGGGATGGGGACGCTAACCCCATGCCCAACCCTCCTCCTTTATCCGGGCTTGGGACCGGCAGTAGCCCCCGGAGGGACTCCAGGCGGAGTTTTAAATCATCTGAGAGATTTAATTTCAGTTACTAAGGATAGAATTATTATTATTATTACTATGAAGAAAAATATAAATTGTTCGTAATCTTTTCATACAACCATGTAATAAAAAAGCGTAAATGATATAGAATGGGGAAACAAACCTATTTGGCTTGAAGGCATTGTTTCTAAAGTTGTAAAATCTTAAATTGCAAATTATAAAGATTATTAGCATTTATTCTATCCCTTGTTATTAGTTTCATAAAAACACCATATAGCAAGAAACGTACGTAAAAAATAGAGGGAGTAAAATGACAGAAGAGGATCTTAAAAATGTGTTTAAAAGGTGTTCAACTTACAACTATTCCAGATTAATATAATGCAAGCAGCAATCTTATACACAGAGCTAAGGCTTAATATTATATTTG